GAAGATTTCAGAACAGTGAGCAACAAAATAGAAAACAGTTCAAGAACAAAACCTTATGTTAAAAACAAATTCCACAAATGGAGACTCAGTCCAGCCAAGATGAAGGTGGCATTAGAGGGTAGTTCCTCTGCCCAGACAGATAAAATACAACCTGTTCTGGATGAGGTTGCATTCCCCTTAAGGATCCGGTTCGTAGTTTTGGGGGGTCCCTAGAGGTACAGGGGAACTTGCTAGTATGCAGCATGTTTCTCAGCTTAGGCTGATATACCAACCCTATTCATATGAATTATTATTAATAGGATGTGAATTATTATTATTAATAATTATTAATATTTGAGATGATGATGATGATTTCTATACTACCTGTAGCAAAAGCTCTCTAGGTGGTATACAACTAAATATTAAAACAATAAAACAGAATAAATAAAAACAGTAAGCATTAAAATTTAATTTAAAATGACATAAAATAATGTTAAATGACAATGGAAAAGACCTGGCCAAGAATAAAAGACACCTGGATAATCATGTCAGACCCGTGAATGGCCATACCTGGAATACACTCTGCCGAGAGCCCCACCTGGCCCTTGCCTTGTTTTCTTTCCAGCAGAAGGCAAAGACCTTCTTATTTGCTGGGGAATCTTAGTGTTTCAGTCTTGTTTTAAATCCCTTACAATATCTTACATCTTTGCATTGCTCCTAGGTTTTGTGTTGGCGTTTACTTCTGTCTGATACTGTAGTTCTACATCTTTCCATGTTTATAGTGTATTTTATGGTTTTAATCATTGTGAACCAGCCAGAGACGGTGGGTTATTGGGTAGTATAGAAGTTATAACTGAAGGCATAAACCGAAGCTTGGGAAGCCTTTCTGAAATAAAAGTGTTTTCAGGTAGTTCCAGACACAATACACTGTTGGCCTCTTCCTGACCTCCAATGGGTGCACCTTCCAGAGCAATGAAGGCTCTCTCTGGGCAGACCCCAGCTGGGCCGTAGCCCCATATAAAAGGGGACGTGGCATCCAATGACTTCAGTGCTGGAATGGGTTCACAAGGCAGAAAGCATTTCCGCTTCGGAATCAGGACTGGGACTGCGTGTGAGTTCAGCCTCGGAGCAGAGCAAGCACGTCACTGCGTTCTGCTAGCCCTGAGCCCCATCCTGACCTCGTCCGCCCTTGCCAGTGGGACAGCGAAGTGCAAACGTGCCCCACCACGGGGGTTTCTCCGAAGGGAGGGCAAGAGGAACTCCAAGTCCATCGTGCAGCATAGCTCTGGAAGCACTGCCCAGACCCCCTGGGAACCCTGTTATGCTGAAAAGAGTTGATGGTCTGTACTGGAGTGCAGAACTTTGTCCAGCCCAAGGCTGAATCCAGGTCTGAGAGGTCTGCAGGGCCCACATGTCACTGGGGTCTGTGGCCAAAGGCAAAAGAAGCAGGCCCTCTCCAAAAATATCTAAATTGCCAACCTATTTTCAGCTAAAGCTGCAGTTACTGCAGCTAAACCTGGGAAGTTGCAGTTCATTCATTCCACAGAAAAGCGAGACCACCAAATCATTGAGGATGAAGGGGGAAAGGACGATGTCTGCCTTTGGGGGTGCCCCGGAGGGCTAATTTGAGGGTCCCAGCGGGGTACACCTCCAAAATAAAAAAACCAAGAGGTCTGTGAGGCACTTGTGGGAAAGTTCCACTTCAGCCAGGCTTCTCTCTTAAGCACTGAAGCAATGGGAAGGTGCCCATGTTGGTCCCCGTCAAAAGAGAACGCCCCTCGCCTGCTTTCGTCTCCCTTTATACGTGCTGACCTTAGCTCTCAGCTCAGTAAAATGCACCTCACTGGCTCAGATTAAATTTCATTTGATAGAGAAGAAACCTCTCCCAAGTCTCATTTTCAGAAGCTTCTTGTGGCTTACGCGCTGGTGTTAAAAGACAGTCAGAAAAATTCCACTTGTGGGTTTCCTGAGGATGCACACAGTTCAGAACGCCTAGTTTTGACACTAACTTTGCTGGAGTTGTCAGTTTTCACTGTTTGGTTGTTGTAAAAATATTTTAAATTCCCAAGAACCATCTCTGCTTTATTCTGATCTTAGCAAACCCTGGGTGTCTTCTTGCAATTGCCCTTGTCTGACAGCTGGCACTTTGGCCCGAAGGAGAGGGGCCCCAGACAGTTACTTTGGGCTAGAGAAGGAGGTGGAGGCGCCACCAGGATACATCAGCCTGCGAGATGGAGCTCCAAATACTCCTATGCCCCCCCCCCCACCACAATGAAAAGGAGCCATAGGAATGAAGCCTAAAGTAGCACAGTAATTTCTTATTTTGCATCTGTGCCTATACAGTGAAAAGGAACAAAAGGCAGCCATTCTCATTCCCAGAATAAACCTCATGGCACGAGAGCAACCATGTTCTGCACATCAGCTACAGGGGGCCAATTTCACCCACCTCTGCCAGAAAGAACACCACTGAAATCATTGAAACCAAGAACTAGTGTCTAAGTTCTGTTTTGTTCTTTCTCCCTCCCAGTCAGTTCTCCTTTTGTGTCGTGTCTTTTAGATTGGAAACCTGACTACAGAGACTGCCTTGTTATCAGTTTTTGTATGCCTCTCTGGGAACCGATTTTGTCTCGCTTCGCCTCGCCTCGCCTCGCCTCACCTTTTGGCCAAAGGGTAGAGGAAGAATCCTAGAAGGAAGGAAGGAAGGAAGGAAGGAAGGAAGGAAGGAAGGAAGGAAGGAAGGAAGGATTAACATATGGAAATTCTATCCAATTGAATGTCCCCCTTTTCTCCTCTTTTTAGTGAGGTTGTTTCTCTTTTTTTGGTGATTCATAAGTAGCCACCCTATTTTGGTGGGCACAAACTGAGCCCACCTTGATTACCTGCTTTTCCTGAGGTATATATGTAGAGTAAAACTACATATATTTCTAGGAAGCAAATAGAAAATTGCAGGACATTTTATCTGTGTAAACCTACGTAAGCTAATGCCGTAAACCGGTGCATTAAACAGCTAAAACTTTACATCTTCTTTAAAACTTTAACCAATCAATCACAAGGGGATTTGGGGAATTGTGAGTTCAACTGAATGTTTTGTTTCTGATGTGTTCTTGTCTTTACGAATGGAAAAATGATATTTTGTCTATTAGATTTTGTTCTAAGTTCTGGCAGTATCTCTAAAAGGAGTGTTTGAGGCCAGGTATTGGAGGGCTTCTCGTTCCTGGATACTTTCTGTGCCCTAAATGGATTTTTAAAAACAAACAAACCATACCACTAAAAAAAAAGTGTGTGTGGGGGGGGGGGGGGGGGGCAAAATTCTGATCAGGACCTAAAGGGAAAGAAGAAAATGAAAGATCTCCAAGATCTCTTTCTCTTTAGATGCCATTGCTAATATATTCTTTTAAATGACATGTGAGACCACAAGAGAATTAGGACTTCTTTGGGTTTAGGTAATTTTCCTGGTGGCAAAATGGAAAAGTGATGAAAACACTGATGTCCATTGGGCATTTTAGCAGGCGGTTGCCTAATGCTGCCCAGGGATGCAAGCACATGGCAGGTCACCGTGACATCCAAAAGGGTACAAATTAAGTATCAGTCATCCAAATAGGCATGGCCTGAAAATCAAGGATGCATTCCAATTTCTGCAAAGGTCCGTGTAAGACTTAAAAGAGCTGAAGGATTGTTCATCCTTAATGGCAATACATACTTAAGTGAAGCCCATATTTAATTGGAGCCCAGAGTGTCACTGAGCCAAGTTTTGGAATATTTCACAAAAATCTATGCTGTATTATATAAGATAAACACACTGGATTGGATTCAGCCTTAGCTATGTATAAAGTAGATCCCCTGAAATCAAGGGGATAAAAGTTAGTCATCACTAACTTCTACTGTAAATTCAGTGTATGCCTAGGCTGAAGCAAACCCCATTGAGTTCAACAGCACTTAATGCCAGGGGTGTGAGGGATCGCTTCCCGAGTCATCAAGACTGCAACCCTATGAGAGCCAGGTCCATTGAATTCCATGGGACTCAGTGCTGGTTCACATGCATAGGAATGTGCTTTAACTAATCATGACCAAATTGAGTCCCATTGATTTCCTTGAGTCTGCTCGAATTGGGACATGGCTTAGATCCAACCCGGAGAGTGTGGCACCTGTATGTCCAGAGATAGCAAGTCCATAATGAGGATAACATCATACCCTGTTGCCACTGAACCATGGGTCGTTGTTAATTCATTCACCTGAACCCCACTGGTGAACAAACCATAGTGAACAAGCCACTGTTCCCAATGCCGTAACAAACCATGGGGCCCTTTGATGGGTTGTTCATGTCCAACAAGCCATGACTGCATTCAGACAGCACAATATCCCTTATTTCAACAACACATGATTCGATAACAATCATCTACACTCAATTCCTACTCAATCCCTGGATGTGGCTTTTTGTGTTGTGTGTTTGTGCCTGTGTGAGAGTGTGAGCAAAAGAGAGACCATTGAGAGCCAGTGTGGTGCGATGGTTAATAGCATGGGACTGGGACTCAGACGACCTGGGTTCGAGTCCCCTCTCAGTCATGGAGCCAACTGGGTGACTTTGGGCCAGTCACAGACTCTCAGCCCAACCTACCTCACAGGGTTGTTGTTCTGGGGATAAGATGGAGGAGGAGAATGGTATAAGCTGCCTTGAGCCCTTTGTAGGAAAAAGGCAGGATATAAATTGAAAAATAAATTAATTAATTAATAAATTTCAACATGTGGCTCCACCCTCGCATATATGTATTAAATTTGCAGAGCAGAAATATGTGCATATATAGGTAGATATAAGCATAGATCTATATACAGGCTGTTGTTGTTACATTTATAAATTGCCCCATTAGCCCATGGAAAAATGTGGGCATGAGCCAGTTTAATCATCTAGCAGAACCAGCTGGTTTTAGATATTTTTCAAGCCCTTTCCTGAAGAACGACAATGCTAGAGACTCACATTCTTGGTTTTAATAAGAACTCTTCCAAAAGGTAAAAATAAGCAGAGGGATTACAAGGGTCAAGATCCGGAACACAGGTGATGTCCCTGCTTCACTGGGACATTGCAACATGTCGTTTTAATGCTTCTTACAGGCAGAAGCAACGGGTGGCGGGTGGCGGGGAATAAGCGCATCTCCTCAGGGACAATTCTCAATTCTGTGCATTTCCCTTGCAGCAAATGTAAAATTGCATTCTAGTGGAACTGCGCCCACAGGAACTTTTTCCAGCACTCCAAAACACCAGCATCAGAGCAATAGAATTTAATCTAGTTTATTCTCCAAAAAAAAAAAAAGGAGGAAAATATGAAAACAAACCCAAAAGCGCGGTTTTTAACACTAGCAGTAAGTAAAATTTGTACAACCATTCAGAGTCTGTATCATAGGATGAAATAAATCTACATCTTGCCTTATTTTGGTGCTTTGAGTGATAACATACTAACAACAATTACAGGAACTGGTTCACAATGCGTATAGGCCTGGACGAACTTGTCGCAGGAGCAAGCTTGCATGTCACACCAATTGCCTTGAAACCATTTAAAATTTCCCTCTTTTTCAGAGGCTCACAGCCTGGAATGGATGATTTGCCTACAAAAACTTGGATTCGGGTTTTTTTTTAATGCATCAAAACAACTGGAGCCAGTGAGGAACAAGAAAAAGGGAGAGAGAGAGAGAGAGAGGGAGAGAGGGAGAGAGAGAGAGAGAGAGAAATAAAGAAACACACAACAGGCAGTTTGTCTGTTTGCCGGTCCAACCTCGTTCTTCTCAAACTGAACCACGAGATGTTCCTCTCAGCATTTCATTTGTGGGGCTTTGATCAACAGCTCCAAGCCACTTCCTTTTCTTTCATTTTTTTCCTTTTTTTTTCCTTTTTACAGCTAAGCTGATGTCAGAGTCCTCTTCAAAAATGTACAGCATTTCTTACAATATAAGTTATACAGTGTTCAACATAGATCTGCTTATCTTTGGGGATGAGGAAAGAGGGCCGGAAAACGGTCTGTCGCTTTTTCGCAGCACTAGAAACCCAGTTCAAGAGCGGAGTTGCGCCGGAATGGTTTATTCACAAAGGGGACCTCAACTCCACGGCTGAGAATGCACCAGCGTGAGACAGCAGCCACGAGTCGCCTTTCCACAATATTTGTTTTTATGCCTTCAGCCAGCTTTAGAATTTATATATATCTTGTCTGTCTTTTTCTTTCCATTTGTGTCCAAGGGCTTTGAATGGGCAAAGCACTCGCCTACAATGAGGCAAGGATATTCATGTACCTCTCATTTTGAGAACTTAAAAAGCATTGTAGCAGGGAAGTCTCTCTCTCTCCGATAAGCTCTTAGCCCATGGCGGTGACCATACTGGACGGATGGTGGGGCCCGAAGGACAGGCCGGAGGGCGGGTGCATCGGAGTCGGTGTGGTGAGCATGTGACCCGAGTGGCTGAAAGGAGAGATGTGGCTGATGGAAGACATGTGTCTCGAAAGGGCGGTGGGGTTGAAGGAGCTGGCCTTGGGGAAATCGTCCAAGCTGTCGTGGACCTTTTTGCATTTTTTCGACTTGCTAGACATTTTTCGGTTTCGGGTCTGGATGCCTTCTTTCTTCATAGTCAGGGGTCTGTTAATCTAAACAAAAATCAATTAATGTTTTTGTGGAGTTGTCTCGTCTCCAGGCAAGCTTTCCCCAAACCGCTCACCAATGCCCGTGGCAAAAGCCCAAGGGGCTGCAAGAGAAATTGCGCCCAGCTTCAGGTTTGGGGACACTCTATAAAATGCCCTGCATGGACCCCCCCCCCCCACCAGCTATATCACCCCCTCCCACAGGGTCTGCTGTGGCAATGGGGTGACAGGCAAGCACCAATTGAAATGCAAGCACCAATTGAAATGCCCCAGTTTTGAGAAACTGGGACATTAAAACAGTGTCCTATACCCCATCAATGTTTGTTTTGGGCTTAAGAAAACTGCTATTCTTTATGTTTTTGCTTATTTATTACAATGCATTCCCCATGGATTCTGCAGATATTGTATAAGAACATACAGAAATGGATCATAGGGCAGACACAGTAATGCCAAAGAATACTAAGATGCAGCCAAAATCACACCAAAGTTTGTTCATCCATTTAGTTTGATGGCTTGCTATGTTCATGCACTCCTCCCTCTGCCCCAGACTTCGACTTTTATGCAGTTCCCCCTCCCTTCCAGAAGATCAAATGCCCCTTCTAATTTCAGAAAACTTGGGGGCAGGTTGAAGGGATAAATAGACAGTTGCTTTTTTGTGTGAGAAGAGTGAAGGCTGATTTATCCTGCAGTGTGCTACAAGGTTTTTTCTCCAAACTGGCATCCTTTCCATTGAATCATGCTGCAAAGCAAACCTTGAGCTGGTCCTGGAATAGTCGCATTTTATACTTCAGTCCTATGGCAGTTTATTATTTGAACTGTTTTTAATCTACCCAAAGGATATTTTTAATGGGAGGATTAAAAGCCAAAGAAATAAGTAGTGCTATATTCAACAGGTAATGTGTTTGAAATGCAGAATGAGATTCTTTTTAATATTCAGCATAATGAAGATATTAAATGAGGCAAAAGTTGTAGCAGAGATGGTGCCATGGGAGGAAAGCCTATAAAAAAATCTGGCTGGGGGCAGAGAAACCCATTTTTCCAGTCTTGATCCAAAGAAAGACCATCTTTCTTTCATCTCAAGAAAGCACTGCATGATTCATATCATACGCCTACACTGAACCTCTTCCCATGCCAACTGAAGACCTGATTTTCCCAGGAATTTTAGCTTGAGTCTGTTAAAAATTGGTATTGTGTTTTAAATCTTTGTAGTGCTCCTGTGTCTTGCTCTAGTTCTTTCTTTTATCTTGTGCTGTAGTTTTTACTATTTAAATTGCATACTGAGTTTTAAATTGTTTCAAATTATTGTGGGCCACCCAGAAAGATTTGGCCATTGGGTGATACAAACACATAATAAACAAATATATTGTTTTGGAAGGGGTGTTTTAGTTCTGCTTTGCTCATTTTTCACCCCAAAAGACTGGCTCACTCAAAAATGGAAGCAGGGAGGGGTGCTAGTGGGGAGAGGAGCTGACCCAGCTTTAAATCAGAACTGAGTACATGTATTAGAGGAGCAATCCCTACCTAACCCCAGCTGGCTTTAAAGGAAACTTGTATGGAAGGATCTGTACGCAAGCCACTTGTTTCTAATGACATTAAAGTGAGCGACCACTAGAAAAGGTACAAGGGATAGCAAAGCAACAGGGAAAAAAAAATCTCTCTGCATTGTCTATTCATATACTTCCAAAACCAAGCCAGGAATAAAAATGCCTTAAACCTCTTCTTTATGATTACTACTACTAGTGTCCAAGACAGCTCTTTTAGCTTCCATTGTAAGCTGTTTCTTTAAGGCTTGTGCCTTTTCTTAGCTTCCTCTTCACCTAGATACGAGACTGAAATCTACCAGAAACCATGTATTCTAAGAGCAAATTCATGGCTCAGGGGCAATGTTAGAGACCACCCCTAAAAACCCCTGACTGGAGGGAGAGTCCAAACAGCCCATTGGAGGCAGAAGCTGGGTTCAGACAACCCACTCTTGAAGGCTGAGTATAGGTTGTTGCTGAACTGAAATGTGGGTTGTGGTGTTGTTTGATCCCAGGTGAGATAACAAACCACAGTGAACAGTTCACAGTTCATAACCCAGCAATCAGTCATGGGTCTCTTCATGGCATGTTTATCAAGCCATGGCTTGTTAGCAAAGCTGGGTTCAGACAACCTGAGAACCTACAGCTGTTGTGTTGCCTGAACCCTGTCAGAGCATGCTCCGTGTTCACGTTAGGCTGGCTTTTGAGGACAGAATGGAAAACGTGACGTGGGACAGAATGGGAAACCCTGGAAGAAGGCATCATGGGTCAGCTGATTCCCAAAACATTGGCGTGCCAAACTGCAAGAGTTTGTTTATGGACATATTTGTTTCACTTAATAATTTCTCCATCCCTGATAATGATCTGATCTGATCTTCCTAGAACAGCTGGGGTAAATTCTTCACTCCCTAAACAAGATCAAGTTCATTTTTGGGGAGGAATCTTGGGGCAATTACAGTAGCTCTTTTCTTTTCCCATGTACAAATGAATCATACATGTCCGTGTCTGTACACATGTTTTTCCCCAAAATGCCTGTGATTTTAGCAGCTCACAGATATGGCAGGGACGTTTAACAAGGCTGCACTTTTCTTGCTGCAGAGGTAATATGAAGATGAGAAAAGGCTTTGGGTACAAAGTTTCAGCCGAACTGGTAATTCTAGGTGTCTTTGAGAACTCTGCAAGAAGAAAAGAGGGGAACCCTGTAGACAGACTCAGTAAAGAACATCTCAGCCTAAACGTTTGTTTTGATGAAACAGAATTTGGTACTACTTAGTCAGTAAACCAGTGGAATATGGGGCTTAGAGCACGGAACTATGACAGACCCAGAAAGACCCAGACTCAAAACCTCACTCAGCCTCATAAGTTTTGTGGGTGATTTTGGCCCAGGCACCATTTCTTAGCCTATCTACCTCACAGGGTTGTTGTGAGGATAAAATGAGTGGTTGGGAGAACCAGGCATGTCACCCTCAGATTGGAGGAAGAGATGGATAAAAATGCCAATGAAATGTATTCATGCTGTGTATAAATTTTAGAGCAGGTCTTACTAGAAAAATAGAAACAGAGTGAGTCAGAAGGGCTCTCCTGGGCCATCTAGTCTGACCCCCGGCTCTGCTTATGACGTGCCTCCCATTACTGCGGTCTGATTTCCCTAAGGCTACGGGGGAGCAGGACCTTAGCAGAAGATGGGCCAAAGATCTAAGATGCTGCATGAAAAGGAAGCAACTTGCAAGCAAAGTGTGCTTGTCCGGTAAATAGGTGGCATCTCAAGCCATTCCCAGGCTAGCTCAACAAAAGAACAGAAAACTTATCTCACAGTTGCTGTGCAGTGACATGTCTCTCATTTCAATTAAGAAGCATAAAATGCAATGTTCAGTAGATTGACTTATACAGTGCAATGCCATGAAGCCCTCATGGGATTCATTCATACCTTATTAGCACACATTAATTTAGGATGCATTAGAGTTCACTGAGCAACATCCGTGTGCATTGAAGTGCATTGGATTGACCCTCAGGGGGCTCTAAGGAGGAGAGTTTTGTGGTTAATCAGGTTTTGCCATTGCATTTGCTCCTTTAGTCCAATGAAGATGTTTTTAAAGTGCATAATGTTATAATGCTGATATAGCATCGTGCTGGAGGCATTCTCAAAGGAGTCACCGGCTCACTTACATTGTGGAGCTTGTAATACAGCCCACAGGCATTACACACGGGATCACCGTTGGCGTTCCTCCTCCAGAGAGTTGTGGTGGTTGTCTGGCAGTTTGCACATGATGTTCCTGCCCTCCTTGCAGCCGACTAAAGAGAAAAGAGAGAACACAACCACATCACAAAACATAATAAGATGGGCTCTTCCGAGACCACAGAATAACAGCATATAGCCAGAAAAGCGAACTGTGGGGAAGGCAGGCATTCAATGCAAAATATAGGACATTATGCGACTTTTTGCAATAATGGTATCATTGTGAGCATCATCTCATACGTCTTGCTCTCAGGTTGGATCCAGATGTAGTCATGTGTAGAAGAGACCCATTTTACTCAATGGGTCTGACACAAGCCACAACTAAGCCAGGCCCAATTGATTTCAATGAGCCTACTCTAAGTATGAGTGCATCTGGATTCAATTGCTCTCACCAAACATCTGGAAATACTGGATCAAAGTGGGATGGGGTTGACAATAACCTAATTGCACTGTATCAACAGAAGTCCCACTGATTAATTCAATCAAAGCAGAAAAATTAACCATCTGTTATTCATAACTCATATGAAATTAATTTCACCCATTAGGATTGCTTTGATTTGACAGCAACTTACAGCAACCAAAAATATAGAACAACCCCTACAGTTTTCCATTTGCTAGCAGAAGGGCTCTTAAAATGTGAACAGTCCGGGAAAGTTACAGATCAGTGGCAACAGTACCTATATAAACAACGGGCTTTCCAGAAGAGGCTGACTAAAGGAGTATTTGCTAGCACTGATTTCCAGAAGGTGACTTTGCACCAGCCAGAACTCTGTATCCCTGAGCACTTTTGGGCTTCTTTGAACTCTTTGATTCCCACTGGGAATCTCTTTTCTGCCAAAAGGTGGATTGTACTTCTGAAATCTTGGAGTTCCCCAAATCTTATGCTATCCCCTTCTCATACAGGGGTGGTATCATTTTGGGTTTCTTAAGACAGCACCCAGAAATGGAGACTGTGGTGGTTATATATGGTTAAGTTCACTTGATATGCAAGCAGGACAGAAATCTTGTTTCCATTCCACAGTAAGTCTTTGTTTGAGCAATACCATTTTGGACTGCGGGAATGGAGATCAGATGATAGAACAGCGCTCTCTCTCTCTCTCTCTCTCTCTCTCTCTCTCTCTCTCTCTCTCTCTCTCTCTCACACACACACACACACACACACACACACACACACACACAGGTTCAGAGAACACAATAACCCACACTTGAGGTTTGACTAGGGATTCTCTTTGAACCCTGAGTTATCCTGCTGTCTGAACCAAGCTGCTCTAACAAACCATGGGATGAGCAACCCATGAAAAGAAGCCTTGGTTTGTTGCTGGCTTGTCAGCTGTGGCTTGTTCACCAAGGTTTGTTATCTAGGCTAGGTTCACACAACAAGATAACCCATGTTTCAGCAATAATCCACAGTTCAACAACAGCCCACACCCAACTTATGCTTAACCCTCGAGTGTGGGTTACCATGTTGTTTGAACACACACACACACAGAGAGAGAGAGAGAGAGAGAGAGAGAGAGAGAGAGAGAGAGATTCCATCATGCAGAAAATGTGCATGTCAGATTAAACATCTAACTAAAACCCTTCTGCCTCTAATCTAACCAGATACACAGAGGGAAAATACGTATGGAAGCACATTCCATACATTTTTAACAAAAGACTCTTATTGTTGGTTTTCCATGCCATCTAGTTGTCTCCAACTTAGGAAGGCCCTATGAATGAAAGTCCTCCAATGTGCCCATGACAGTCCAGCTATGCATTTCTAAATTCAAGGCCGTGGTTTCCCTTTTTTATTATTTTATTTTCTTAACATAAACAAATACACAAAAAAGAATGTGAAACAGAACAAGCTAAAATGAACAATGTTGCCAAGGGAATTCTAGACAAATACCTCCTATACATTCAGCCCCCAAAATCTATCTATCTTCCCATCTTTCAACACCCTATGAGAGTTTAACAAAAAGAAATTATTAATCTGTACAACAACAAATCTTCCAATCACTTCAAATCCTCTACTGCTTTTTTTCTGTTCCAAACTCCCCTCAGATCCAGTTAATCATACTGTCGTTGTTGTTAGTCGTGAAGTCGTGCCCGACCCATCGCGACCCCATGGACAACATTCCCCCAGACCTTCCTGTCCTCCACCATCCCCCGGAGTCCACCTAAGCGCATAATAAAATTTCCATTTATCACTGAATCCTTCCAAAGCCTTCCTTGATAGAATCAGTCCATCCCTCACTTGGCCTTCCTTTTCTTCTTCAGCCTTCAACTTTCCCTAGCGTGACGGTTCCTCTCCAGGAAGCCTTGCCTTCTCCTGATACATCCACTTTTGCTTCTAGGGGAAGCTCTGGCTTAACTTGACCCAGCCCCACATTTTCAACCTGCTCAACTCCCTTCCGGTCTGCCTCAGCACATAGAAAGACCACCGTTCATATAACAAGAGGGCGTACGAAGGACCCTACTCAGTCAGGTCAAAGGCCCACCATGCTGGTCTCACAGTGACCTGCCAGATGGCTGCAATCAATTAGTGGCGCAGGAATGCACCACCATCGCCCAGTTCAGGATCCCCAGCAACTCATGTACATGGGAACACTGTCCCCCTGCTGGAAGTTGCATATGCCCATCAGGATGTACAGCCCACAACAGCTTTATCCCCCATGAGCTGGTCCAACCTCTTTTCTAAGCCCTCTACCTTGTGCTGGACAATTCCAGGGCATATTTGAAGAAGTCCTTCCTTTGGTCTGTCCTGAATCCCAAGCAGGAGAAACAGAGGCATTAAACTATCATTCTGAAACTATTGTCAAGGTTTCGTAGCAACCTTCCACAACCTAGATCTTCTCCCCTCCCACAACGGAAAAATCCAGAGATTGAAAAACTAGCACCTATTTTCAAAAGGTGTCTGCATCTCAAATGGAATGCAATGGCTACTTTTGCCAAAGGAAGAATCATAGCGACATGCACATGAGCCCTTTGCACATGTGATCAGTTGTATCCACAGTCATCCCAGTAAGAAGAGAGCAGAAGTCCAGCAAATGCAGCAAAAGGGGCTTTCTGATTTATCCCTCAGCCTCAAATCAAAGTAAGTTCCAGCCAGTTCAACCAGCCGCACTTCTGCATTGAGCACTTCGGGCTATCCTGGCAGCCTTCTTTGCTTTCTTCAGAGATGTTGTAGAATTCAGTCATGGGTCAACCTAAGTGAAGTTCTCTACTGATCAGACCTGGCCCACCTGTGACTCATCCACAAAGCCAAATGCAAGTTACCAGCAATGGTCTTGGGGAGGAAGACCAATGGTCCATCCATCACCCTCCTGGTTTTTCTGCATATCCAGATTAAAAAAAAAAGTGGTGGAGGGACTTTTGAACAAGCACCTGGATGCCACCATGGTTGGTGGGTGCCTGGGACACTGCCTTCTTCCAGATGACGATTTGTCCATCTGGCCAAATCTACTCTGGCTAGAATTGATTTCCTGGGTCTCACAGCCTTTGAACCAAAGATGCCAGGAAGTGACCCCACCTCCACCACCATCCGAAACTCACCCTGGGGAGGGAGCACGTGTTGTGCAATACCGGAGATTGTGCCTGATACCTTTTATTTGCAAAATCAAACGTGATTGAGTTACGGCCCTCTTAGGGAAGAACATTGCAGAGTCGCTCCATCAGGGCCAGAGTCACTGTGATGCTAGATACGCTGTAGGCTCTTCTCTCTTGCCCTGTATCATGGTTTAATGGCTGGAGAATGTGTTGTCCTGTGCGTCTCCCTCGACATGCAACCATGGATCAGCAGATGTGTTCCCAGCACACCATCACAAGTGCGGTATTATGAAGAACACATGTCCAACTTCTTCAGAAGTTTGGTGAAACTGTTTCTTCTCCATTCGCTTTTCAAAACTATACGCTCCTTCAGTGTCTCAGACAGGTCAGCTTTGGCCAACTGAGGAAATCCCCCTAAAATCCCAGACACCAGATGTACAAAGTTCCCTGGACTATTGGCAGGAATACTTTGAAATGCCACTGCCAGTCACATGGGTAGAGCACAACCTAAAGTCAAGAACACGCTCTGCTCTCTAGCAGAAGCAAAGATGGTCCATGAAACGCAGAATTCCAAATCTGGAATGCGTTCTATCAAGTTCTGAGCGCTGTTCTCGGCAGCAGCTGAATCGAATCCAGCCCGATGCTGTGTTTGTGCATCAAGCGTCAAGAGGAGGCTCCATTTGGCGTCTGCCAGCCCCACACCCTAAGGATCCCCAGATGTTTTCTCCTGCTTTGCAACGTGCTTGCCCACCGCCTCTCACTCTGCCCTAGACGACGGAGTGATGAGCGGCAGCAGCTGGAAATGCCCCGGCCTACTCACGCCTTTGCTTTCTGCCTGCTGAGCAAGCCAAAACGAGGGTAGCCTCTTCCATCGGTATTATTACTCCTGCTATTATTACATTGCATTAATATTTCACCACTTGTCCTCCTCAAAGCTGGCCTCACTCCTCAGAACAATGTTGTGGGTCAGGCTGAGAGGGAGGGACTGGCCCAGAGTCGCCCAGTGAGCCTCACGGCTGAGTGGGAACCGGAACCCGGATCTCCCCAGTCCAACACTCTCGCTGCAACACCGCAGTGGCCGTGAGAAGGCCAGCTCGCCGAGAGAGCGATGCTCAAAGCCTGGCCTCCATTGAAGGTGCAACCACTCCTAGGCTCTTAGGCCCAGTTCTGGTCTCTGCCCCTAAAAATGGCTATCGTAGAGTTAGAAAAAGGGCGAAAAGGGGCAACTAGCATGAGCAAAGGGCAGCAGCCACTCCCTGCGAGGGAGGCTGCAACAGCTGGAATCATGTAGCTTAGAAAAATGGTCCCTAAGGAGAAATCATGATAGTGGTGTACAGAATTACGCCTGGTGTGGAGAAAAGGGGGCCATTTTTCTCCCTTGTTATACTAGAATTGAAAGGGGATCGATAAAGGAAAGCACTTCTTCACACAGTGCATGGTTAAAAGATGGGATTCAGCTCCAGATGTCGTCGTGGGTGGCTTTAAAAGGTGGACAAATTTGTGGGGGAAATTTGCGGAGGCTCTCCCT